GGGCCCGATACTTGTGCTCATTGACCTGGGCGATCCGTATCATCATGGTGGAAGAGTTTGGAAACGGTTGTGGAGGTGGAGAAGCTGATGCGGCTTGCGAAAGAGTCTTGAACTCTGTTGGTGCCTCGGAAGATGAAACATGGTGGAATTGGCTGATCTTGATTGGATTGTTTGTTGTCTTCCGATTGGGGGCCTTGTTCATTTTGCGACAAAAGGCACTCAAGTTTTACTAGAGGAGAGAAACGAAAAAAAAAAAAACGTGGCGTTGGATCACTAGATTTGCACCAAATACAGGTGTCCAGGTCAAAATAATGAAGAGCGTCTTTGCATAATCGCAATTTGGAAAAGGAGCTCGATCATAATATGTATGTCAGTATTTGTTTTGCATACATACTGAGTGAGGAAGAACAATCAACGGGAATTTTATAATCGAAATAGTCAAGCTTGCATGAAATACTGATTGTAGCCGGAGCTTACTGCAGAACTTGTCGAAAATGGAAGATGAAACCAATGAATGACAGACAGCAACAAGATTGTCGTCAAAGTGCTTTAGACCCATTTCGAACCAGCGGGACCAGAAGGCTCCTCGTCTTGAGCATCTTCTTCATTGTCCGTGTTGGCTTTCTCTTCGTCGTCCTCCTCATACTTTGTTGTCCAGCTTCGTTTTGCATCCATAGCGTTATTGGCGAGACCTGAAAAAACGAGAATGAAAATTGATCGTCTGGTGAGGGTTTCATATCCACCTATTCACGATATGTAACTGGCCCATTGTTGTAAAACTTACTGTCTGCCACTTTGTTGTTTTCGCGGTATACGTGCTCCAAGGTCAACTGACAGGGTTGCCCTGTCTGTTGTTGACACTCCTTTTGAATCTGCTGAAGCAGCCTCTTGGCGGAGCGATAGTAAGGTTGGAGCTTGGGACTCTTGCAGTCAAAGGCACCTCTGACTTGTTCAATAATTAATTTGGAATCGCCTTGAACTATCAAGGCTACAGACTCGTCAGTGCTGCTCA